TTGATTGTGTATACCCAATACATATCCGCTTTCAATAAAATTTCCACTAAAACTCTTCTACTTAACAGAGTCTGAGCAGGTCCCAGCGTTCGCGAAATGATCTGTCCATAACCTAAAACCATGAGTTTTTGATTACAAGGGTCATAGTTGGCCTCCCAATGAACAGTCTCCAGAGAGGAATGTATCACTAAACTTTAAAACAAACTATCAACCTAACACTACCGCTACGTTAGTATCACGAGATTGTATGAGTTAAAACGAAGCATTAAATGAATTTAATAGCTGGAAAATCCTCTAATTATATGCTCATGCCATCGACTTTCACTTACGCTGCCACTCCTTATTTAAGAATAAAAGTGGTAAAGGCTAGTCTTACCTTTTTACCTGTTGATTAAAATGCACTTGTTTGGCTGAAAGAATACACTAATTAGTGAATAAAAAGTCCATTAAACCATGCAAACAACGGAGGGTACAGGCACATCGCAGAAAGCGCCCTTCGGCGACTTTATAAGCTAACATTTCTGTCCACGGTAGATTGATTTAATGGCTCTCGCTAGGCGATTTGTGTCGTTGGACAGCCAAAGCAAACGCTGAGAGGAAACCACTTCCACTGATCACTTTCACGCAATAAAAAATAGCTTCTAAAAAGCCAATGGAGTTGCCATCTTCCATCACTCCATGACAGGCTTTTGACTCTCCCAGTCATAATTTTTTCACGCCCTGTTAAGTGGTATAACCTTAAAGAATTTCAGTAGACATCTCTCTTCCCCTCCCTTGACATTCAGAAAGCACCGCTTACGCTTTGCGTGACCACCGTGGAGGGGCTGCAAAAGCAGGGATTTTCCTCTAAAGCACCATTATCACTGGAGGCACACACGCAAACGCTCAGAAGCACGAGGTCCTGGTGTCCACTAATAGACGAGGAGGCCACAGAGAAGGAGAGAGTGAGATGAGGGAGGAGCATCACCTCTCGACGATTGTACTTGAAGTGTACCATACTTCTTCACTCACCTGTTTGAAGTTTTGTCTATGAAAGGGGAGAACAGATGCGAGCAAGTACCATGACAACCGAGAGGGCCGAGATTCTCCCTTAGGCGTCGGTAAGCAAAGAAGTAAGCAGCTAAAAACTGTTGTAACATAAATTCTTACTGATGTTAATTATGTCTTTCTGCTAAAAAATCAGCACAAGTCCTACTCATATCATTCAAACAGACTATTTGGCATGATCTCACCACCAAGCAAGGATTTTATGCTTTCACTGTCACCTGAGAAAAAAACCAACATCAACCATTTAATTATCTTTATTATTCTAGTTGGAGGTATGGAAAAGCACAAGAAGGATGCTAAATTCTAGGCGAAGAGTGGCAAGGGTTGATTGGTGATCAATCGACAGGTCTATCAGACGGAGAGTAATTAATACAACTTTACTGATGACACCCAAATCTCATGTAATACCATTATAAATATGATGGTGACGTAAAAATGGCCCCCTGATTAGTTTTCAGAAGGCTTAAACTTTAGAGCTGACTCCTATACTTATGACTATAGAATCAACCGTATTGACATCAGTACAGGGCAGCAGGTAAACCGATACAATTTTGCAAGGCTCTTGGCGCGCTCGAGTCCGTAAAACGACTCCGCTTGTTAAGTGCTCTTCAGCAACATTGCATTGGCGGTCCAACGTATTCTTCAAATTACTTTAATAATAATCCTCATAATGTCTGCGGTTGAACAAATGCTGATACTTCTGTCAGTCCTATGTAACGTGGGCATTACAAATTATGACCACTTATTCACAATGGCTGGTTTTAATGGTCACATTGATGAGGAAATTTAGAAAGTGTGTAAGGATGGACAGATGCCCAAACTGAGCTATTTCCATGTGTTTTGTCCCGACAAATCTCACAGAGTAAAAGATACGCCACTTAGGATGTCCCATCCACAGTAGACTGTTAAGTCGAGTCTGAGTTTGATACGAATTTGAACCTAGTTTATGAAGCCTCTATAGCCACATTTTTAAGCAATTTTAAATTGGCCACCTTCTTGATCACAGTGTACTTGAAATGATTTAAAAGCAAAAAAAAAATGACAATCCTCACTCACTGGCTTAAATATTCCTGGCATAGTAAGCCGCCGTTAATGGAGACATTAAGGCAGTCGTGGAACTTCGTTAGCAGCCAAACCACTTCCCCCACACATGGCAATTCTATCAGAATATTTATCAAGAAATTGGGAATAATATTAAACTTTGTTACTTTGGCAATTGCATTATAGCTTATTGTCGCGAACCGTGATGAGTGAATGCATTACCGTATTCCCGGTTCACGAGTTAGTTACCCTATCCCTGACTGTTCTACATAGTTGACAGCAAACAACCAAAAGTGTCGGATTTTCTATATTAAGAGCATCTATTAATGTTTCATTGTTATAAAATGAGTCCATTTTGAGAGGATATACTCATCTACCACATAATTTGATCACTTTAGAGGCAAGAGATCTATGGGGAAACAAAACACTGCCACAGTCCTCGCGACAATCCCAGTTTTCAGTTCCAATATTGAAGTACCAGTTGTGACTTAAGCGGCTACTGTCAAGTCTTTGATTTCCCTAACTATACTACTCAGGACCTTCTCCTTAGTTCTCGACTCTGGTTTCGCCGTTTTCCAATACAAAATTCACAAATGTTTCAGAGTCCATAATACATGAAGTCAGGGGTAAATTTGGATGGTGGGTAAGCCTAATTTACAAGTGAAAAATTGCCATAATTCGTATTGCTTACAATACCTTTCAATCACATTTTTGTACAGATGATAAGTTCTAAGATAAGTCTATACTTTTTTTCCTTTTAAATGAATGGCGTAGGATTAGTGTCCATCGCTATTCCCTTTGAACAGGCCAGTTAATAAAGCTACTGATAAATTTAGAAAATGCTGGTATGGCAAAATGTATCTTAATTTGTGTGCTCTTTTATTTGAAGGTAAACTTTACAAGCGCCACAAATTTGCTTGTCTTTGTACCACTTTGCTGGTGTTTCAGTGTGTTCTAAGGTGTAGTGGAGGGCGAATGGGCAGGTTTATCGTACCTGATGACATGCGAAAAGAACTGCAAAGTGAAGATTTAGGCTGACCTAGGATTCCAAAGAAAAAATACTGTTAATAACTGGAAGGGATGACCGATCGCCATCATAACGTGGTACTCAACCAGTGAAACAGAGACAGAAATCATTATAAAATGGGTGAGCCGACGATGCCATTAATGTGGCACTCATTTTGTCCCTGGAGATGTTATATAAGGCACATAAGAAATGGTGGACAAGTTGCACAGAGGAGCTGAGCAGCCCTCCTTCCATTGCCATAAAGATCAAACCAGATGAGATTCGAGATACGGGCACAGTTACATGTCCAATGAAACTGGTATCATCAAATACACCTTTATCCTTTCCCTACCAGTTAATATTAGCAATTCAGGGCACTAACGAATTAATATTTAACGAATTCAGCATGATCTTAGTGCGATAATTCAAGCAATACTTGCAGATCAGCAAAGCGGAGCATGAATAGAAGTGGGTAAACAAATCGAAGGGCAAATAAACTTAATGTTCCCAGACATTCCCTACCTACGCGAATGCCAAGCACACCCATTGTCGCTTTTAGCTTCTGAATATATAGGGTGTCGTAATTGATGTCCACTTCAACAACCTCCAAGATGTTCCTTACTTCATTCATATCATTAAGGCGTAATATGTTTGCATTTTTTGCTAGGTTGAGAAAAATGTTCTTGCGGTCAAAACTTAAATGCTTGAGCAATCCGCGTACTACCCACCCTACCCACCCTTTCAAAACGCGTACCACTTTATTCATCCGCCGTGCCTAGCATACTACGCCCGCTTTGTGCGTGTGTGTGTGTGCGGAGTTGTTCAAACAGCAATTACGGTCGAGACCCATTTACTCGATGTTACGCAATATTATGCGATACAAGTGAGATATGAGTAGGAAACCATATCTCTGAGAGGTAGACAGACAGTGAACCAGTGAATGGAAAAGGTGGCGTTCCTAGAGAGAAGAATTCAAGACCTAATTTCGTAGCAAAGCTGATACATGGGAAGAAGTGAACCGCAGGATGGGAGAGAGTAGGATACACAATCACCTCATTCTCATCCTCATCTTCTGCGTCGCTTTGACCCTATTTCCTCAAACTAGAAATGACTATTTCAAACCTCTTCTTAACAATCACTTGAGGATTGAAATCGAATGTTGGCTAGGATTAGGTTTTTTTATTGGCTTCTAAAGACAGAGTGTTTTTTTTACAGGTGAAAGTCGCAACGACCGAATATAAAAAGGCAGCTCTGGGCTGGAAAGATTGTTGGTTTAAATTAGGGACCTAAGTTCCTCAAATTGCCCTAGTATACACGACATACTGTAAATAGTTGTTTCGATAAAGAAATTCAGTAGCAGGAGAAAGGGTAGAAAAATGGGCGGAGAAATCACGCCTCTAATTTGCTTAAACAGTGTCCAAACACCGCTTCACACCTCCTGGGATGCGGGTTACACGTCTCCCCTGGCACTTTCCACTCCCCCCCCCTCTCTCCCACCGCCCCTTCTTTTCCCTGCTCACAGCCACGCGACGGCTACCAGGGCGTCAGAGTTGGCTTTGACTACCGCTGTTATTGCTGCACGTGCGACAGGTTAGAAGGCAAGTGGCTGGATGCGTCACGTCGTGATAATTGTGTCGCCAAATCGAGGCCCGTGGAGAGTGATAGGTCTTTTGGACTTCTTTGCACGCCCCTACTTATTTCTTTCTAATTAATCTGGCAACACACTCTATTTTATTTTAACGAACCTACAAAATCCAAGTTTAGACTCACATGAATAAGTAAAATGCAAAAATAAGGATGAGGTAACGGTGTACGTTAATTGGTAAAATACGTATGGGCGCGTATTTATTTTTCGGATTGACTGACAAATAATCAAGAAAACGAGTCATTGAAGAACCACCGTGAAATGAGACAGCAGCCAAAACCCTTTGGCGTATTATTTTGGACCACTGAATGTAAAGGGTGTATTCGAATTAATTGCGCTTGTCTTAAAAATGGTAAAAATCACGACTTATTAATCTGTTTTAATGACAAGATCTTCATCCAAATCCATTTTATCATCAAGTTTGCTACCACTTCTGATAAACTTTATCCTCCTGTTGATCGGCTGGTGCATTCTAAAGTTAGAACTCCCTCAGGATTCAACCCCACACCTAATTGAGATTACCTTTGAAGATGAGTTAAACTGATGTTGGAATGTTAGGGAAGCCGTATAAAAAGCGTAATTTGGGGTGTAATGGATGTTTGAACCATCCTTAGCTTTGGTATTGGCAAAATAGCCATTTTCATATTTTAATGTATTCACAATCGCATATGCTACTAATGTTTGGTCGGTAGAATATAGTTTTAGCAGTACTGACCACTTCACACAGAACGGCAGTTATGGAGCATGACTACGTTCCTGTATGCTATGATAATTATGAAAACTCCGGAGTCGAATAAGGACCGTGTATTGGAACAGTTGATTAATTTAAATGCCATAAGCTGCAATGCTTTGATAGCTTGTTTAACTCGGGATTTGATTACACGGGCACACAAGGCTCCGTAATTTGTACTTCCTCTCAGCGGCGTGGTTTTAGGGCAACGAATGTAGCATTATCTCTTCCTTACTTCATCAACACACCTTCTTCATGCCACTGTGACTTCTTAAAGCTTCAAGAAAAGTATGGGGCGCTATATTGTGACAGCTGTAAAAGTAATAACGAAACCATCATAAATTACGGCGGTGATAACTGTAGTAAGATCAGAAATGTCCCACTAATTAGTAGCCGAAATACGCACCACGTAAAAGAGTAAATCTAATATGTATAACGTCTCTAAAAGATTTTTGTTAGCAGCCTCTTAGCCAATCTGTACCTTGGTAACAGGTTTTCTGACGTATCTTTGTGCCTTCAGACGAATTTAGGGAAGACTCGGAGCGCTATAATGAGACCCTCATGGTTTCATTTATTAATTCAGTTGAACTCTGTATTCAAAAATTAGCGGGTTAAGAGAACTTCCCTCGCCGATGTAAGTAGATTGTATATTGTAAATCTGACTCTAAAAATCCTCAGTTAATATAATCCTGGTCTCTTTTCTGATCTTAAAATGAGTCGGCTATTGTTTTAAGTCTCTTGTTAGTCCGTTCGAACCTTTTTGAAAATTGGGCGTGTGCCTCTGCCCCGTTGCGCGTGGGTGCAGCTTGGATTTTGGCCCCTTAAAGTTTGTTTGGTTCTGGCTTGTGCTCATTCTAATTTCACCTAGGTGGATTACATGGCTTTCGGAATCCGATAGATCCAATCGTCTCAGTACTCAGAGGATGTCTGATTTGTTTGCAGCGGTGGATTACTTCGTTCTGAACTTCTTACACTGTGGTGCGTTTTTAGTGATGAACTACAGACCTGTATTGAATAGTGATAGAACTTCAATCCCTGATTTATTCTTATGTGGCTTCTAACGGCGCTTTTTTCGCCATAGTTGGAGCTCCTGGTCGAGAGAAACTGGTGCCTTTTATATCCTGCGTGTAGAATCGGTGTGTTGATGCGCGGGCATTGCAAAGGGTTTGCAGCAGATATTGGTCTCCTTTGAGTGATTACCATTTCTCCAGGTAGATATGCTTTTTGCTAGTGGCTGCGAAGTAAAGCTTGGTTCATATTTCTGCCGTTCTCAAAATGGGTCCTAGTATCCGGTATTAGCTTGTGCCGCGGTGTTACTTGGGTTCTTCGTCTATGAAGGTACTTTCCGCGGTGAATGTGTCGTCAAGGAGCCTTGGTCCGGGGTTGTCAGAACTGGTAGGGCTTTCTGTGCTTATGCTGGTTGTTTTCGGTCTACACTTCCATGCTCTCGCATCGTCAGAAGCGCGGGTCGCAGGCTCGATGGCTCGTCTGGTGCTGAGGGTGTTCGTCTGACTGTCACCGGGCACTGCCTGATGAGGTTGCGGCCCCGGCTGTCGAGGTGACCTGTTTCGGCGGCACTTTTCCGCCTATTCAACGTCGTTATAGTAGCCGTGTTAATCTCAACACTAGAGTTTGGTTATTGCGTGCACTAATGACGGGTAACTCATGGCTAAAACACGGCAGGGAGGCGGTCGTCGCTGTAAGCCGAATCCGGAGTTGGTCTTGCATCTGTTCAGTCTCCTGGGGGTGCTTTGCTACCTCGGAGTTTGGATAAGCTGTTCTGGTTTGGCGTCTACCACAGCAAGTTCGAATTAGTGCTCTTCACGGTTGATCGTCGCATGTCGGGAGTTTTGCTTTGATTTGCGCAATGCGGACAGCGATTGTGGTCATTTTCCACGATAGGGATGCTAAATCTGTAATGCAGAGACAAATGCGTTTGTTCTTTGGATCGCGCTGACTTATTTTGGAGTTAGGGCGTAATTTGCACTACTTCCATCCCAAATAGGATTTAAACTATGTTTGGGTTTGTAAGATTTATTCGAACTCGGTCAGGTTGCTTTTACAGTCAAGATCTGGCGATGGTAGTGAATGTTGGATGGATGTGTGTGTAAGCTACGGTGCCATGGTCCAAGTTCGTAGGTAAGGTTGCATCCACTGGTTGTGGTTGTTCTCCACCTGGATGACCACCAGAGGGAAGGCCCAACGCTCAGGATGCATCAGGGGTCGCGGCCTTTCCGGCCTCAACCGGGACCAATCAAACACCGGCACCTGATCATAGGTCGGCCCAGCCACTGCTATCATGCTCAGCTATAAAAACACAATCAACTCCATTACTCCTGCTACTCTCAGACTAGTTGCCTCGAAACCATTTTGTAGAATCTCCCAGTTTTGTAGATACACAGGTTCTAGAGCCGAAAAAAAGGGAAAAAGATTCCGTGCTGAGTTTAAGAACGACCTCTTTGTTCTACCGAGCGTTTGCGAATCCCTATTGATCTTGTAACCAAAAACATGTGTCTCAAACTCTAACCGATGTCTAACCAGACCGGATAGCAATGAAAAGAAGGACAAGGACAGACCGATCTGGCCAGTTCCAGGTTGACGAGTTTGACGTCAGTAGCGCCGTGAAGACGGTAGACGAGGAGAGGGAAGGGATAAACGCCGTTGGGGTCGTTGAGATCGCTTCGGGCCGAGATAGCGTACTGCGCAGTGTAAGGTGGCGTGCAGTTGCAATGCGACAGCGGATCGTGCGTGAAGTCATTGAACCTACGTGAGGGAGGTACTTCCACCATCAGAATTAATGGCATAGCTGCTGTTAATGCTCGTAAGCCTAGCAAAAGTTACCACAGAGGGCAGCCCGTGGGTCTCGGCTGTACCACATGACTACAACAGATTCTGCTACGGAAGCTCTTCTCCTTTAGATAGAGGGGACGTGATTACAAATTTTCTAGAAGTCCAGGCTCCAGTTAATCACAAGCTTTACTTGCGTAGAAAGAAATTTCCTGTGACTCCTCTGATCTTCATTCTCCAAATTTGTAACGGAGATTAAGGAATGGTGATCGAATCGCATCGTTTTTATTCCTTACATGATTAATAAAACAATCAGAATAGTATATTCACACACACGCTTTTGCATTTACACCTTCACTGTGGGAGTTAAGTGCCCTTGTAGGTTCAAGTAAAGGAAATGAAAGGTTGTAGAAAACTACCACTACTTGTGGTAGCTTTGAAAGTCATATAGGCCTTAGATTAGGCGCGTATTTATCCTTTTTCACAAAGCGCATGTAAATGGTTCGTGAGACTTGCACCAATCTTCGAACTTGACAAGAAGATATCAACAGACAAATGCTACAATGAACGAAATACTTAAACGCCACACTAAAATATTAATTTTCGCCTTGATTATGCCCGTCGATCAAAACAAGTAAACCGATTCACTAGGGTGGTAGACTTTAGAGAGCTAGCTTCTCACCTCATTAGGCGGTAGACACTTGGCAACGATACTGCCGTCGAGTGGTTGCGTCTGAAAATTTGAGCCCGAGGCGTCATTTCGTAGGAAAAGCATTCCCCAAATTTCTTCTCCAGATCATCAAAACCTGAGATCTCGTGAATGAACTTAAAGTACCTAAAAAGTTGGCATTTTGACCTACTTAAGTTTACATCATTTAAGAAGTTGGAAGAGAAATTGATAAAAAAAGTTTTAGTCCAAAACCAGAGGAGAACTTGACGCGTATTTGATGAAATCAGTTTCACGTGGTTATTGCATAGTTGTGCCTCTTATATTTTGTTGTTCCTCTTAAACAAATCTTCACTAAAGTTAACCACCAAGTTCTAGCATTTCCAAATCGGTAACGTTCCGTACTGGTAAACTATAAATGCTTTTTGCATGTTTCCAAAGGTAAAATCTAACAAGCATACGCTTGAAAAGCATAAAAAACCGATTATTCATACTACTACAGTCTTTTCGAGGCATTCGATGGTATCCCAATGTTTGCGGGTTTAAAAATGCTTTACGCATTCGTCTTTAAGGAAGTAAAGCGCGTGAAATTATTGAACGTGCACTTACGGATTGTTGTAACTTCCCCAGTAGGACTTATTTAAAAGATGTTCCGTAACGTCTGCAGACTGAACTAAACCCCTGAAATGTGAAAGTTTGACAACTGGTGAATTTTATCCAGTCTCAATGAAGCTCAATAAAGCCAATGAGTCTTTTATCTTTTAATGCAATTCATATGATCATATTCAATGTCCAAGTCTCGCTAACCAAAACTACAAAAGAAAAACGGGAATCAGAAAATAAACGAACATCTTACGGTATTTGTTCCGCCACCCAGAAGAGGTCTTTTTCCGGAAGGGGCTTCGATGGGTCAAATAATTTTGTGTCGATCACCATCCACTGATTGTTGTATCTGGAATACACAGGTAAAGTGGAAAGATAGATAAACTCGTCCCACTTCACTGGAGCATTACCCAACAAGATGATACAACTTGACATAGCATACGAAGTAAATAACTAATGTACCTACAAATGAACTTGCCCAAAAGTAAGAAATAGTGATGAAAATGAAGACAAGACATTACTTGCTACCGTTACTTCATCCCTTTGTCTTGTCTGGTCGAATACACTTTTGGGAAGACGTAATGTGACGAAATGACATCTTTATGACGAGTGTAAGGGTGTAGTGCTGGCCCTGCTTTCCAAACAAAATTCAGAGGTTTATCATCACCAAAACCATGGATTTGGTGGCTCTCTTTAAGGCTAGTACCACATACTTGATCAGCACAATTTAAGGGGTGTGTACCTATACCGTTTACGGTAAACAAATAGCGATTAAACCTCATGTCTATTTGTCAGGAGTCAAGACCCCTACCTATAAACACTAGAAAAGGCCGTTCACATTGCAAATTTGTATTCGCTAGAATTTATTACTAAATTATAAGCAGGACTTACAAGTTGGGTAGAACAAAATAAGCCGAACAATCGAATGAAACGGATTTGACAGAGGCAAGAACCTACGTTCCGCTGTTCTCCCGTGCAAAGAAGCCGATCCACTCACTCGGAGTGCGTGCAAGACGAGTCGCAATCATGACACGAAAGGCCCCCAACACGGTGCTGTTGAGGCCATGGCGTACAAAGGGCCACAAATTTGGATTCTCGTTACCGTTTGTTGTCTCTTGAATGACCTAAAATAGGGTATGAAAGCCTCACAAACTTTATTCCAATTTGCTAAGTCTCGTCCCAAATTCAGTTCGGTATTCCACAAAAACCTGATTAATGTGATAAAATACTAGCAGCATAAATATTCACGAGCTGTTAACAAATTTAACGTTTCAAGTGTACCAACTGTTGAACAGAAAGGCGGTCTCCTACTAAGAAAACCGACGCACCAACCCAGTGCTTGTCACGTAGAAATCGTCAATTGAATTGATTGTTGATGGGTACGATGAAAAAAGGATTTTATCTGCTGGGATCACTGGTGAGCCTACAAAAAACGCAAAACACAAAATCATGATTTGGCTCCAATGATGGAACCCCAGTACATAAGCAGAAAATGTGCACCTCAAGGCTCAAACAAGGCCATGATTCAAGCCAATAGATCCATTAAAAACAGTGTTATCCAATCGGGAGTCAGGTTTTGCGGTAAAAATATTACTTCGTTGCAAATACTAGTCTTTTTATTACAAGAGGATAGCATAAACATGCTTAAATCATGCTGAACCACTGGTTAAAGACAAAACAAGGTGATGACGCCAATAACGCCCACGATACTGAAATATGGTATATCTAAACGGAAGTCGTAGAAGTAGTTTGAGATGGACAGCAAAGTAAAACGGACAATTTTTCTGTCCGATGAAAGTAAATGAAAAAAGTGAAGCGGAACTATGCTCTAGAATAAAGCATATTACTACATTGGCTGTCAAGTGAACAAGGGAGATCGTGAAAACTTGAAGTAAAACCATAGAATTAAACATGGACTGCCGTAGTTAGCCCTTCTGCTAAAATAACTTTTCAATAACTAAACAGAGGTCGAAATTTGCATGTGCTTAAGAGAACTGTAACCCACTGGGATCGCGAGTGAGCCTCCAGGCAAATTCGTAGTATTTCACTACCTTCAGCATACCCTCATAGTCTCGCCAGGTGTCATGAGAGATGAAGATGTCCTTGTGGTCGGGCGCAAGCTTCACGAGGGCGGAGCAGCTAGGTCGGCTTGTAAAATAGTGCTTGCCATTCGGCCCCTCCTCCAGGGCCTCGTACAGGCCCAAGGCTGCGCTGACGTCCCCCATGTCGACTGCCAGCTGCAGAAGGCTAAAAATCACCCAGAGGTTTCATGGTACATTACATTATTTATTCAACCTCCTTCCTAGGCTTCAGCAGAGGATTTGTCGCGTTTGGCTTCATAGTCTATTAAGTCATACTGTATCACAAAACAATAAAACCGCACAGTTTTGGTAGTAATGGATTAAAGCATTGGCATTCCATTGGTCATCGAATCCCTTAGAAATTTTTTATCGGCATTTTATATTAATATAGTGAAAGCGGTCCACTTACTGAATGTCGAAGACGTCATCCAAGAGATGCATCAAGTAGTCGGTTGTGAGGAATTTCGAGTTGTTTATCGTAATGTTGTTCCAAGCATCTTGAATACCACGCATTTGCCAGAGCACAAGCTCCATCTGTGGTTGAAAGGACGAAGAAGGAGAGGGCAATAAAACGAAATTTCCACTGTTGAAGAGAAACCAGTTACAAAGTTGATAAAGTCATGATGAAATCGGGCAGTGAAGAAACAGAAATGAAAGGACTAGAAAATATCCTCCCGAAATAATAAAAGTTGACCTCTAAAATATTAGGGAATATCTGTAATAGAATAAATGGTCAAGAGGAATAGAAGGGCTAAAAATATTATGAACTTCTCGGGTGAATCTCATTCCCAGAAAGCGAGAGAACAGCCTTTGATGTAAAATATGCGTTGTCAAAGTAAAATACCCCCTTTTAATAGATATCACATTAATAGTAAGGAAGGGATAAATAGGCCTGCCTGATGCCAGTAGGGATCAATATCGCCGGACTGAAGGCTCCTCTTGATAGTCATCTCCAGATTGCGTCTTAAGTACTCCTCAAGCTCTTGACAAGCGGATGAGTTGTCCTTGCAAAAGCCTTCAGAAAATCATGTAGCAATTTGTAATATCGTAAAATTCATTTCTATAGTTGTATTATATTATCCATATGCACAATCAGCCTTGTGTAGACATAGTACATCTAAATGATGATCATGGCATAGACGCATGCATCCTCCTCGAAATCTTACTTTAATAACCAGAGTAAAAGGTAACAGTGAAAGCACTGATTTTGTTCTGCAGTGACCATGGATTTATGCAAGGCTACCTGAAGTTTAGGCAGTTTACATTTATAGTTATCTTCCCAAACTTTGAATTCCTATTTTCTGGAAGTGAGAACCCAAATACTAATGACCTCTAAATGCTTTTAAAACGTAGAAATTCTTAAATTACTTAACATACTTTCGTCTCTACTTTTTTGGGACGTTTGAAATTGTCTTAAATCGTTTTTCTCAAACTGTTGACCATACTGACTCCATTAGAACCAGTAATACCATTTCAATCATCTTTCATGGCCTAGTTGAAAAGCCACAAAAGCTTGGCAAGACATTGTGAGGATGCAATACAGTCCCGTTGCACTTGTGTCAGTCAGAGTTACCGCTGGCAGAGCATGAAAATCATAAGATAAAAGAAAATATCGCACCAATACGTGGTTTCGTGGGAGTTTAGATTAGCAGCAATAGTTCACAGTCGAAATACCTTCAAGATAGTCGACCAAATTTGAATCATAGCAACCAAGATGAGTGACCTACCGCCAAAAGTATTTTCAAGTTGGGCATAGGTTACATCCCTCGAGATATAGAGTTCGAGGAAGCCCGCCCAATAGGCTTGTATTTTGTCCTCGAATTCTCCCGAAGTTTTGACTGTTTGGAAGGCCATTCCCACATCATCCACAGACTGATTGAACCAGGAAGCTGCGGGAATGAGGAAATCGTAGCCTGGTGTCCGCATGTGGAAAGTTTCAGACTCCAGGGAGAAATCGTAGGTGCCATCGCTTGCCTCGGAGGCAACCACACACACTGTTCGTTCAGACGGACTGATCGCAGTGGACGTTCCAATGGTCACAAGAAGGCAGAACAGAAGAACCAGCGCCCCCATCGTCCTCATGTTATTGTCAAACGTCGAATGTGGGCTACTCACGCAGATAATCACACGAGGTTTCAGGAGCGTCAACCAATTGCGTAAAGGTGCACGTGCTTATTGGTCGAACGGTGATAGGTGACCTTGATAAACGCACTATCTACATGCACGTGTTAGGTCGCAAGGTGGCTGACCAACAAAACGATAGAAACCAACAATCGCTCCTCCCTCCAGCTACTGATAACTTGCCCTATTGAAATGGATTTAGCAGTAAATTAGACTTCCTTATTGCTATTATGTACGATTAACTAAAACCAGTCCTCGAGAATCACCGTCTTTATGATTGAAGTCCCCTATTCACGCATCAGAGACCCAGAAAGGGAGAACCAATTTAAAATGGAACTTAGATGTTATACCTGCTAAGTTAGCCAGAATGACAGGGAGAAGGTGGTTTCAGACCCCACCTTGTTTGCTAAAACGAATGACAGTTCATCCTAACCTTTGGATAGCTTAAGTACAGTGAGCCAAGGCGTCCATCTTAGGTAAACTGTAACAAGATTAGGTAAACAGCTGCGCAACTACGCGAACATGTGTGACGAGCCCAGATGTCAATTATAAACAGAACTGTCGCACTGATTCCACAAGGTACACCCAGCTGAAGCTTAGGCCCGGCCACCTTACCCGAAGTCGGAAGGAGAACACGAGCAATACGGAATTTGAGCCAGCATGCCTTAGCTACCTTTTTATTTGGGTAAGCAAAGACAACGAACCCACAACGTAAGTGCTAACGTAACACTACCCTTTTCAACAAATAAGAGCTAGATTTCCCAAATACCTGGAAGAAAAAAAGGAATTTAAAACAACAGAGAACAACAAACCAAATGAGCTTCAAAGAAGTTCTCATATTATCAAAATTGACTTTTTTAAAACAATAACAAAGCACGGCGTGGTCTAAAAGACAGCGCTAAAAGTGGTGATTGTTGTATGCAATGAGGGATTGGGGTAGGAGGAAGTTGATGACACGGCTAGAGACACACACAAGAGAGGACACAACATCCGCAGCAGCAAGGACGAAGATGAAGAGAAAGCGGATAATAGGCGAAAGCGATTTGAAGAGCACCGACCTAGAGACCCGAGAGACTGGCTTTGGGAGGCAGGGCACCCGGACCAGGCGTTGCGCTAGCAGCTGCAGTAGAGGAACTACGACCAGTTAGCCCAGTGCCCCCATTGGTGGCCATGCCTGTTGCATTGTGGTTAGCGAGCAGACCATCAGACGGCTTACCACGTGCCATCTGATCAAGACTCTTGGCGCTCATTCGCTGTAGCTGGTAGAGACCGAGAGAGAAAAAGGCTTCTGTCTTAACGGCAGGATTGGAATACGATGGCGGAGTCTATACTAATAGCATCTTAAAAAAAACTAAAAACCGGGAAAGATAGGGAAACTAAAGATCATAGCCAAAAATAGGCTAAAACGCACTTCATCTTCCTTCTGACGAAGCAGACAATCGGCACTCATGAGGGCCTCAAAACCAGGTCCATTTTCACGATCAACACGGGGCGCACTGTGGAGCAGAAAAAGCGAAGAGGATTGGAAGCCAGAAAGAAGAAGGGGACAGAGAAGAGGCCATTTTAACTTACCCCATGCCCTCTCGCCGATCTGTCTGCCTTCGTGACATCCGCTCAGTGATGTACTTGGCACGGTAGTTCTCATAGTGCACCTCCAAAGTCATATCCTTCAGGTCTTGCATATGCGTCCTGGTGGAAAAATGAAGGCTATGATAGCAACTGCCTCAACTGATTATGCTCCAATGACGAGTCTGTGATGGGGTTCGACTAGACGAAGACTAGATAACAACATGCTCAATTAGACCCTCGCCTTGCTAACCCGCGTGGGCTGCAAAACGGAGGTGGTTACCGATCTCATGCTGCTCACATCAGCATCGCTACCGCCTTGGCAGGCTCCCCCAGTTACCCGTAGCCTTACGCAAACTGCCCTTCGAAATACCGCTAAAAGTATACCCTTTTTAAATCAAGGGATCAGAGGAAAGAAATTAACGCCACAAAAAATATATCAAGCACATCATAAATATACTTTGGAAATTGGTAAGTTCTGATTTTAAAGCAATACAGGGGTGAAGGAAAAATCGGTGTGGATATATCTTTAATCAACGCACATTCCCAACCAAAATTTACCAGGTTGATGGGCCATAATAAAGCCTATTTTCTGGAACTATTCGAGTAAAGGAAAATGAACGCACGAAATTTCACAGGAAGCGAAGGTATCGCAAATCGCCCCCAACAGGACGATTTTAGGTTGACAAACTGACCACTCGACTGAATAAAGGTGAAGCCACCACTTCGAAAGTGCGAAAATAGGACGAGAATCGAGTAGACGATCGCTTCTTGTGCAAGGGAAAAAGCAGATGTGGTAGTAGCGGTGAAGTGAGTCACGGCCAAAAACGGAGCGTTTGTGCGAATGCAGAAACTTGTTCAATGCTGCACATTCGTGAAGTGGCAAGCCTCCAAATCTCACCGAATGAACTTTTTCTTTAAGCAATTACTGGAAAAGGAGGCACGATGAAAACGGGCATCGTGTGGCAAATTCAGCAGAAATGCAAAGAAAACTAGAATGAAATTATGCATACTTAATAATTGAACTCCAGTTTTATGTAGTAAAGCACGTTATCATGTGACAACTACGCCACGATGGCCTTTGCATTTAGGTAGCCAAAAAAAAGTTGGCTACGAATGAGCATTGTATGGTAAACAAAGTAATGCTTTAATGAAGAGTTTAAAGATGATAATGTTGAATAAAAAAACTGTCAAAAGGGATATTTGTAGGCCTTGTTTTCGTTACATTACCTCAACTACTAAAAGTGTCAATGTAAACCTTTCTAAAAAACTGGTGACCCAAGACAATGGATTTGAATTGATGGCTGACGGACCAATTGAGCGAAAGAAAATGTCGTTAAGAGCTGCCTCTAAGACAGCTAGCCAAGCAAGCGACAGGACAATCTCAAGGCCACCAACCATGAGGAAATCAATGACCCGGTGACAGTAGTAGAAAGAATGGCAAATTTACGGCATGAATTTCCGTGAGCTTAAAAATAACAAAAACGGTAACGGGACTGGGAAAGCGGGAAGGACAGCCGCAGCCAATGGCGCAAACCGAATGCATGAGTCACTGCAGACGAATCCTACACAGGGAGTTGGGCCAGTGCTAACAGCCGAAAGCATTCCCGCTACAAGTGCTAGACTGTCTGTATTTAGGAGTTGGGCATTTGCAGACCCCCTTAAGAACCGTAACCAAGACCGTAGAGCGTTTGACATCACATCACATCACAATCTGTATTAATAAAACGGTGGTGGGGTTAGATTATCAGCAAAAAAGTAAAGATCAAGATTGATTTTGGACTTGTTCAACAATCTACACGATCGCAGTTACTAGTTAGGTGGAGCAGTAAGAACCATGGTGTCAATGCAATAATAGATGTACATCCCAAACAGGGAGCACACAACCACCTAGTTTCGCTCTTGACAAGTCAGGGAAACTAAGTGGAAATGGCATCTGTGATATCAGTAGGAAAAATTACTTTATCTAAATCAGGTATTAGCTCCGCACAAACCAATAGATCCAAGTGATGTGTGGGGATAAGTCACACAGACCCAAACAGGAAGGTCAAAGGCAATACACATAATAAATAGCTGTAATTTCACACAGGTCTGGGGGGTGAATCATGGAGTACATCAACCTTCCACGAGAAATGAAGACGTAGTAGCAGAAACACGAAAGAAGTCGCAGAGTGCGGACTTGAAACAGGAGACATCTAATTTAAAATAAACTCACTTGAGGAGAAAGATCCGCAATTTCGTGAAGTCGCAGTGCTTGGGATTCTCCACTTCCACCACACCCCAAGGGTACTGTCGGCCGCGCACACGCTTACCTCCCTCACCCTCTATCACGCAGTTGCTTCCAATCACCGCAAACGGCAGGACCGCCTGGTGGCAAAGGTAAAGCAGCATTCCTCAGCTAGCTATGGTGACAGCTCAGCAGGTACACCAGTGGTTAAAAAAGCAGCGGTAGAGGCTTTAGGTCAGCATCAACTCAGATTATGGGGAAAGTGTAGCCCACGGAAAATGTTTTAGATCAGCAAATGCAAAAGATCTGTTTTAAGCTAAAATTTGCTTTATTATGCCACCTCTGAAACATTTTTGCTATGTTTAAGTGGATTAGACGGTGAAATACGTGATTCAATGCTGAAAGACTCACCACCAGTCAATTTCCGTGCACAATCTAGTAAATAGAACAGGTGCATTAACAATTTTAGCTCCTACCATCCGTGGGACAAGTATCTGACAATCGTTTAGCAGGGGAATAGATTAAGACAGCTTGGATTAATTGATCAAATGGTCGCACCGATTGTAGCCAAGTACCCAGACGCCAAGAAGCTGCAGAGTATGCCGTCAGTCCCAAATCACCAAGTAGGCGTTGTTGTCTCTGCAATCTCAGTGCTGTGTTCAATCTTAATCGACCACTATAAAGAACGTTCACGATTTTCGAAAGGGAGCTACGATTTCATCGCGTTTACGAGTACCTTCACACCATTTCAAAAGGGAACTACAAGCTTCATGGAGTAGAACTCATCCAGTTTCTTTAACTTGAAAATTGTCTTTACCGATGATAGTACCACTTTTGCGTGCATAGATTAGTGCGTAGTCATCCGGAAATTACATCCCTTTGTTGTTCACATCAGTCACAAAGGGGAACCTCGGGACGCCGACCCGAGAGAAAATGTTTGCAGTCTGTCGTTCTATGGTGGATTGGTTTGCTAACAGAATCCCTATTCATGAATATCTCCTTTTGAAAGACTTCAACCTGATATTTATCATCATTCAGAATGGAGACAAAGGGTAGCATATTTCACTGAACATTGAAAAAGGTAAATTAAAAACTAACTAGAAGCTATTGCGAAACGTTACAGGTGAGCGTGCATGTCATACAACATGAAAGTTGGAGATAGAGGCATCTGCATGGAACTAAATGGGAAAAAAGCATAATTTTTTTGACAGAGACCTCCGACACAAGTCATAAACCACACAAGCACTGATAGCAATGATCCTAATGGAATAAATAGTCCTACAACTTATGATTAGAAAAAGGATCAGTAGACATTAATTTCACAACGAAGGATGAAAAACCGACTGAGCTAGAGTGCAAACGTAAGCTATAAGCAGGACTGCTGATGAAAACAGATCTATACGATCCCTCTCCATGCGACGAACCCATGACCTTAAGAACAGACTGCATTACCTAGCTAGCTATTACACCTCCATTCCAGGAAGCTAACAAAATAAGACGGTATTTAAGCCCCGAATTTTTCAACTATGGACAAGAGATAAACAGGCGAAAACATTAAACCAGCTAAATTGGACAATGTGAACGCAGGAGTGGAGAATCAACCTGAATCCAGCAAGCAAATAGTAGCTACGATTATTTGAAATCAACAAAGGATTGAAGTGATAGACAAGAACGAAGTACCATAGATGGTCATTCTCAAAATATCAAGTTGAATCGAATGAGTCTCCGAATGTACCGAATAACTAAAGCATTTAAACACATGTAAAAAGGGGTTTAAATGTAACATTGAATTTAAATTTTAGATAATCCAAGAGGCACAAAACAGTTAAACAGTACATCTGTTGAAATGTAAGATCCACGTTAAACTGAAAAGTAACCTGGTCGAATATGAACAAACTAAAACTTGAACCTAATGCGACAGAAGTACCGAATCAAGATTTTTTAAATTTAACTTGAAATGAAAGTCGATAAAATAAGCGACTGACTCATACAACTAAATGCAGATCCTAGATGATGTCAGTAAGGGAAAAAATTGCTGCCTTTAGGTAACAAAAAATTACAAGTGTAACAGATTGGTGGATCGAACAGTAAAGACAACCAGCAGGTGCGGCAACAACGATGGTGGCTAGAACACGATAGGTGGAAAAAATAAGTTACCTTAATTTCCTTGTCCAACCGTTTGATCTCTTCCTCCTCATCAGAGTCGCACTCGGGAAGACGGTAGATGTCTATTTTGTATCGGTTCAGATCGGACATGATGCGTTCCTTGAGGGCACGCAACTCGCTGGCAGTGAGTGCGTCCGCTTTGGCAATCACGGGGACGATGTTCACCTTGTTTTGCAGGCGTCGCATGAACTCCACGTCCACCTGACGCAAGCTAGGAGCACCAAAAGGCATTAATTTAACCCACACTGTTTGAAATCCGCTTGAGTTAACCTTCTGATGTATTGATAAGTTCCGGCTATATGTTAAGCATCAATCTGTTTTCTTAACCCTGAAAGCACTCCACATGTTACCTCGGGAAGAGATCTTACCTCGATAAAATTGGTAACACTTCAAAGGAAGGAAATCAAACAAACGATGCAGAAGATAACTTCACGACCACCCAGTTAGTCAAAAGTACATTAAGAACCATTTTCATTATAATAAACAGAAAATCGCCTTTGTTCCCTCCTTTTATATCATTGAAATCAGGGATGCATTCATCTCAGCCGGATGACAGCGGTATAAAAAGCAGCAATACCCTGCACTGATGTTTAACTTCGGTAGTCAATGTTTTGAGCTATGGGATCGCAAATCCCTGGAAAGGCATTACTGTGCCTTAAATGGTCATCGTACCCAAACTTTTAACTTTTGATGATAAAGCATAGCAAATGGTGTTCTAGAGTAAAAAATCCCAAGTTTGGAGAAAGGATTGGGAACGATCTAGGGGATCACACCAAATTGAAAAGCTTCTTCAAAGTCTAATTTTTTCCTAAGGGTTTTCAAGGCTGAAAACTTTTTTATCGAACCCTTTTAATACCGCTGACTTGTGATACCTCCGCCACTTCCTATTTTCGTCTGAAAAGAACACCCAAACACTGACAACTCGAGCTATACGAACTCCCAATATGCACAAGGAACTTTAAATCACAAGTTCGTTAATGAAAACCAAGTAATCATTCCCATTTATTAAAACATTTTACAGGATCCCGCTGGACGTCAAAGTAAGGTAAAAATCTGCCACTGTGAATCGAGGCTGGGGAGAAAAAGGATTACACATGCCAGGTCGAGTTTTCTCGTGAGTGTTTTTGCGCGCAAGACAGATGAGGCTCAAGTTTCAAATAATTTGCATTTTAAAGCAAACCAAGTGCGTGGACACAGTCTTGCTAAAGGGCTTCCTTCTTAGCGATTGGGTTTCATCGTGGTGACAAAAAACGAACAAGTAGAGACCGTTTATAAATCAACGGCTAGTAATAAAAACTATTCCCATTCTTCCACTTCTATAAACTAAACTGGCTTTTATGATGAAATGATTACAACTACTTAGTAAATCTTACAAAACTACTCACTATCATTAATGCAAACATCCTTTGACTACTGAATATAGCTACTAGTAAGACTGGCACATTTTTCTTGAATTAATGAGGCAGCGAGAAGGCGAAGACAAAGGATCACATACCCGTGGCCGTAAGGTGAGATGAAGTAGAGACAGCAATGAACACGATTGTCCTGGATATTCTTGCGGTTTAAACCACACTCATCTTTGAAGTATTGCTCGAATGTGCTATCGATGTAATCCTCGATTGGCTTCCAACTACGGTAATGAAACACCTGACAGTTAGGTAAGCATCATTCTCCTGATACTTTTAAGAAGAAGGGCACACTTTAATGCTACATACAACGCTTACCATATGAAGTCAAAGGAATATAAAGACAAACGCAAGGAGGAGGTAAATGGATAATGCACCAAAATTCTTAATAAAACCAACACTAAAGCTGTTTAGCGATGCGATTGCCATATAAGCAGTGCTGAGACCACCGTGAGACGAGAGACTGGAACCTACCACTCTTCCGCGTTGACGGCATCATTGAAACCGGGTGTGTCGACGATGGTCAGACGCAGTTTGACACCCCGTTCGTCCAACTCAATTTGACGTTTCTCGATTTTGGTCACCTTCTTGATCATCTCGTTGGCGTCGACTGGCTCCCTGTCTTTGTAAAGGTCCTGCATGAAGAGACTGTTTACCAGAGTGGCCTTGCCCAGACCGCTTTCACCTGGGAAGGACGAATGAGAAAGCCAGTAAAACTCGTACAATCAGTCACGTCAGGCAGAGATATGAGGATCGATGGAAACACCAGACAAACCGTCATGACCTCACAATTTTACGATTTTTAAAGCAATATGCTTAAATCTAAAAATGAGGTCCTATTGGAATACAATACTTTCAAGGGCCTCCTTAAACAACACATTTAAATCTACAGAGGAGTGCATAATGCGCTTGAGCTAATCTGAGAGATGAAAATGATGTAGTAAAATTATTTAATGGCTATTGACGGCAACTAGGTTTTCCTTACAACGACGTTAGTAGTGCCGAATGGTAGCTGGGATCGCGTGAGTTAAATACAAGACGACACTGTGTGAACTACCTCACTTTCAAAAGAAGTACAAATTATGGCTCCGGCTCTGGTTACCTTCATGAATGATATTAATGCATCTGAGATTTGTGTCAATACGACTTGACAAAAATCAACTTAGAAAAATACTACCTTTAAAAACTCTTTTTATAATACATGAATCTTACGATTTGCTAAGTCATAAACCAAGCGAGAAATATTCGCATCAGTTTTTACACTTCGGAAGAATAAGTCATTTAATAATCCTAGCCTAGTAAATAGCGAAGGTTAGCTAAAAAGTGTCCACACCGTTCAAAGGGTTTACTTGCCTCAGTAAGTGGTCATTTAAATAAGATTTAGTGGCTACGGGAGCTGTTTGCTCGCGGGTCAAACTGGAGCACAATGTTTGTCAACACCAAATGAAGTAAACGCCTCCTCCCCACAAGCTTGGCATGAGGACAAGTATAGCATCTTTTTTTAAAACAAACGTTTGCGTTTTAAAGCACACAACTTTAAGTTCCTAATGCGTGAAAAAAAGGTGGATGGAGTTCACGTACCAGCAATCATGAGAGTGAAATTAAATCCCTTCTTCACAGCTTTGCGATGCATTTGATCTGGGATGTTTGCAAATCCCAGTTTGCCGTCCTCATCGGGCTGGGGAAGAAAAGAAATAAGGTGGATAAACTTCATTACCTCTTCACCATTCTCTACTTGTGTATCAAGCACAAAAGAGGGGAACATCTGGGTGAGGGCTTTCATGCGTCGATGCGTGTCTCGCATACTCTGGAGTCTGGCGACTTTCGGAGGCGTCGACCTATTTGCCAGTTGCTGCTCTCTAACCTCTTTAACCACCTCCGCCTTCTCTTCCTCCCATAGAGCCCTGGTCATTTTTGGTGAGGCTTTTGGAGTGAGAGAATTCGTAGGAGTTTTTTCACCAACCCCTCCGACATTAGCGTACTCCACATAATAGGATTCTGATTCATGTTGTGGACGTCTAGGTCGATAATTATCCAGATCTGAGACGGTCAAGAGGGACTCGGATTCATCGTCTACACGATCGTAGTAGCCTCCGGTATATGAGGTGGGAACTGAGAACATGCTGATGGAGTCGGTGTAGCTGGTGCCATCCCCGCTGATATCAGAGGACTTGCTGCTCGTTTCGCTGGGGCGAAGGCGTTGGAACAAATTGGGTAAAAGGTTGCGAAACGGACGCGGTCTTCTGTGCATTACACTTAACGATGTATGTACTTGAGTGTGTTAGTGGATCCTGAATAAGCTTAATTAGCATAGAACCAATCGTTGAAAAGTTATGCAAATTATTCCGTACGCTACACCGTGACGATATCATTTAAAAGAAGCACACGGTGTGAGGGAACAGACCCCGGATTTTACGAAAATTTCGAAGTTGGCTGCTGGTGAACCAATCGATGATGACAAAAATCATCGAACGATAAAATCCGTAAGTTGTGCTTCATTGGTAAATGATAGTTTAAGTGAAAAAAATATGCGCAAAAAACCGATAAAAAACGTGATATTTATTTCAATACCTGTTAGTTTTCCGAAAAAAAAAACAACCGTCCCTAACAATAAAAAAAACCGCCACAATAGACGAACCTCAGATCTGGACGTCCAAATTCCAGTACTAGGACAAATTTAGAGGGCCTCATTTATATTTTTTACGTTGGAGGAAGTGAACCAACCTAGCTGAAAACTTAAAAAGGCATGACCTTTGATACAACAATACAATTTACAACCGAGAGAGAGTTCTGTATAACAAACGCATAATGTTTTCATGAAACACACATTGCACAAATGGTTTCTAAACGATGATGGGGCATGAGACATTCAACAGTACAACTTGTGGATCACATGAGTTAAACGACTGTAGAACCATGGTAGACAACCAATAGAAGCAATAAAAGTGTTAGTACCTGTGAGCCTGCTGTAGTGGGACGACTTTTACTTTCCTCATTTCGGGTCAGATTCGTGTTAGCAGGATCACCCCCTGCAAAAAAACGACTGCCATTTTTGGTGGAAGATTGTTCACTTTCTCCTTAAAAAGATTACGATAAGCACAATCATGCCGTACGATAACGTCCAGTTACATTGAACCTAGGGATCGAGGCCATATCACGGATACCACTAAACACAAAACGAGCGACTCTAAAACAATGCAACGTTTAGAACGAACTTAGCGCGCAAGTGTTGGCCAATTAAAACATTGCCGGTAATAATTTTTTGCTCCGTTTGTGGATAGTTAGTAATCCAAAGATATGGAATATTTTGTACCTATTTATTACAAAAGATGTCCGCAAAGAATAAGGAGACCTAAGAAAATCAAGTTTATAGCTGTTACTAGCTGAAGGTTAAATGCTGAGTTAGGCTTTTCTGAAGCCTGAGCTTCTGTTAATGAAAATGATAACTAAACACTTTATCTGTACCTACTAAGACTTGCGCACTTACATGATCTTAGTAACATTACTTCTTTTAACCGATTTCCTCCATTACATTTGAAAGTGGCGTTTGTAGTTTCTCTCGTTTGATTTTTAACCCCATGTTCTCGAATGCTCAATGTATGCAATTTTTAAATGTAGAACTAACAAACAGGTCATTTGGGACACATTTAACTAAATTATTTTAACTGAATTGTAGCTCATCGTGTATTTCCTAAAATGGTGGGGTATACTATTTGCTTAACACTCTTTTAATTGCATGCTGAACTACGCAGGCACTTGGGTCTCCGTGGCTGGTGACTAAACACCCTGACTCTTCCCTGGGTTTGTGATAAGTCAAGGCAAAGCGGAAGATTATGTGCTATTAAAGTGTGGATGTGTTGTGAGGCGACTAGTGTGATCCAGAGGCCACGCTGCAGAGCAGATGCGCAGCTGCTCGACTAAGCTGCTTTCATCGCTAAGCACGCGGTTAGCCATGTAAAGTATTAAGGCATTACACAGTACTCCTCTTCATTTGAGTGTCGTCTCCGGCGTTTTTTCTGGTCAGCCTCCTATGTTAACCATCTCGACGTATTTGGTGTCTTAAAAACCACCTGCCAACCCGAAACCCCTACCATTGGACTTTATTGGGTAGAAAAAGGCATTTGATCCCAAAGTCACTGATGCAACTTAGCAAGTCCGTTGCATTCGGACTGCATTAGGGAAGGCAAATGCGGTGGCTTCATAATTCTCAAGACTATGTAAACACTGGTTTAAAAGTAGTCATTCAGCAAAAATACGGTCTAGGATAGCGCACAGTGCCACTATTTCGTATCTAGTCCTCCTTGCTACTTTTATTCAATCTCAGTGCCGCACACCTGACCATCTGGGTTCCATTCAGCTAAGGTGCCTGCGTAGGTGAGTATACAAGTGAACGAAAAATCAAACGACTTCGGAAATCCTGTTTAGTGCGGTTAGGTTTGATGGGATTTCACTGAAAATGGGCAATATTTCATTCTGTAACCATCCCTGTCATTACCATGTTGTTGATGCAACGTCCGAAGTTGATCCCGAGGTTGAAGTGAGGCATGCTGATGGGGAGAGAAATTTGTAATAATCTAACAGAAGGATTGAGAAGTTGCAGACGTGCAATGCCCCCCCACCTCGTTAATTTAAATAAATAGTTCCAGGGCACTTGATTAAAACATAACTACGACTTTAATGCGGATGCAATTCAGAAATTGCAAAATTTCAAAACGGTGTGCAGACGGTAAGTCAGCAGTCCAGATGGATATAGTTTGCACACTTTGAGGAAATTCTCTACCATGTGCCATAACACTGGTAGAATAGTTCAAATTGGAGCAGGTGGTGGCGATGAGATTAATTGGCAGAAATGATTTCTTGAGTGAAGGGGAGAGGAAGTGAGGTAGGGATATTTTAGTACAATGAGATACTTTCTTGGTGACAGTGAAGCTTGCATTTCGGAAAGACAAGTCAGCATCATTGCAAGTCGTTGTCACCGCTGCTAGACTTGCGTTGTATCCGCCGCAGAAGGTGGGACATTTTAGAGGGTTTTTTCTCTCCTTCCGGCACGTCCTCGCCCTTGTCCTCGGCATCGGAACCCTCGCTCTCTCCATCCTGTTCGTCATGCTCTCGCAACTCCTCAACCGAGTTTGTCAGCAGTTTTAACTAAATAAATTAGTCTATCAAGTAACACCGGTACAAATTAGGCCATCATTTTTAGCAACCCTACTTCCAATTACAGCATAAACGCTCGTAACCTAAGATGATATTCCCTTAAAATTATCTTAAGTTCAAAAAAGCCATGAAAAGCCTGGCGTTGGTACCTAAAAACGAGGCAAAAAACAATATTCCCAGCAAAATAACGACCAAGGTGAGACATTTGCAGCTATGACACTTCCATCCGTTGTACAAAACCAGAAATAATCCGAGTAGGAAGTGGAACAGTTTTACAAAAAAATGAATAGGATGTTCTTAGTCTCTTCAGATTCATTAAACTCGTCTTAATATGATTTTACCATCATATTCAACCTCCAAATCTTAAATTGCTGAAACAACTGCTCATAATATTTTGTCTAATGGTCACCTGGAAGCGCGAACTGGTGTATAATTTTTACAAAAGTGAATGTGCTACGACCTCTTAGATTGTAACAATGGAGAGCACCGCATGTGTCACTTAATTCCATGTCTTTTACCATTTAAAACCGACTAAGGCTTCGGGAAAAAATTCGGTCGTACTGCATCTGAACCACACCGCGTGCAGCTCACCCGATCGGTCGAAGCGAGAAGTTCGATGGGAACGCCCTGTTTGACAAGGTCTTTAGTATGTAGTTCAGCCATCTTCTCAGCGATGCTGAGCTTGCTCTGATAAAACTCGCCCTCGTTGAGGAGAGAGTGGAGAGCCTGGCAGGAGGCGGCAGTGCGTAAGGCAGTAGTACTTCCACCGGCACCAGTACTCCACACCTGGGAGACGTTGAGGTGATTGGCCCCACCTTCTTTGCCTTCCTCCCCCTCGCCATCGCCGTCCCCAGGCATCCGCAAGTCAGAGGGCACGTAGCCCAGGGTACGCTTGCAGATGCCCTGAAGAAACTCCGTTCGGTGCTCGTCCTCTGCCGGACCCCAGTCCGTTACGGGCTTCGAAAACTCGCGTAAGAGCTACAAAACAAGCAATCCACCTCAACTGTTAAAAGAATGGGACTGTTTTCCCGTGGACGCAGCTACTGTTCACCAAATAACTAAACCTTTGCTATGAATCTGATTCTTTGAATAATCCATATCAATGAGCCGTATAAAACTACTTTGAGTCTACCGATAACTCCTTGGGTTTGTGGACCATACCGTTATTTCAAAATACTACAGGGAAATGCAAACAAATCCAAATAGGAACCATTTACATGGCACTATTTTCTAGCTTTAGGCCCTTACAGACGCAAATCCCATGAATGTACTAGTACCGGCGCACAGTAGAGGTTAAATATGGAACATTGTTCCAAGAAAAGGCTTGGATCTACTTACGATCCATCCGCCATCACGGCAGTACTTGTAGACGAAAAAGCCGACAATCATGACAATTGGGACAATAGCGATAAGCTGACCCATCACTTGAATTCCAGTAGGGAAGATATAATTGCCCAGGCCGAATGGTTTACCACCCACAATCATGAAGATGAGCAGTGCCAGTACCATGAGTGGTGAAATACCCATCCAGCATATCCGCCAGTACCAATTAGGTTTGGAATCAATCATCAGTTTAACATCTCGCATGAATTGCTTGATGCCTAAGGAAACCACAGAGGAAGTTTATACACCTACTAAGACGGCGCAAGTGCATCTGATAGGCCAAAACTCACCATAGACGTAGGATATGACGATCAGTTCCATCAGGCAGATGATCAGCACGGGATAGCCTGACATTACATTGTCCATCAAGTTGACAAGGTAAACACCGGCAGGACACACCATTGGCAGAGTAATTAAGAAGTTGATGGAGCACAAAACAACTCTAAAAAGGGGAAAAAAGTTCAGTGATCTCAACCTTTAAAAACACAGACGTTTTCGTGGCTTCTCCTCGGATTAACTTGTTCAACAACGCCAGAGGCGAATAAAGTGGTCCCACTAGTATTTGTAAGTAGTGTTTTTAAACCTCTCAAAATAGTTTGGCCTACCTAAAAAGAAATTGCGATTTCCATGTGGTGAGCAAATTGTATCGGCGCAGTTCATCTTGAAAGGCGGAGAGCACAGTTTCGACGTAGGGTAATTCGCTACCTAAGCCAAGCGAAACCAGCATAATGAAGAAGAGGATGGACCAGAGGACGGGAACTGGCATCTGGTTCAGTGCTTCAGGGTACACCATGAAGACTAACCCCGGCCCTGAAGGATACAAATATAATAATAAAAGTAGTTCGAAAATATGGCTAAAAGTAACCGAAGTCTTTCAAAAAGTGTAATATAACTCAAAAGTAGAGAATAACAATTAAACTACTGAAATCTAATATATAAATCTAATAAACGAAATCTGCTATTGTCCAGAGGCATCAAAAAGTGAATCAAAGTAATCTTTAGCGAGCTCTGCGTTGGGTCCTTGGTTTTGGGGCTAAACCAAAGTTAAGGTGACCGCACCCCTTCAAAATCGGCCAATAATATTGCCAGTTTTGATATTTAATCTCTTTATAAAGGAAAAAGATCCAACGGAACCGGTTTGCAGTGCATTCGTTTATGCGCCCACTTCTCATTGGCCTTATGGTTGAAGGATTGACCTTGGCTACTAACCAATAGCCGAATTGTGGCAACCCCTTCGAGCATAATGGACTTTGTGAACTCAAATTAGCCGATTGGTAATTTAAAAATCAGACCAGCCTTTTAAAGCAGTGATATTGTTGCTTCCTAAAAATCCTTCGCTGACCTTATTGCCTCATAGTTTTCCTAGCACCAAATTATCTACCAAGAAATTAGAAATGACCAAATCGGGAAGAAATGTTAAATAATAAATGCCGCTCTACCACTTGCCAGATTCAACGACATCCGCTACGGGGACACCCTTCGCATTAGCCATGAAGCCCAGTGTCGAAAAAACCACAAAGCCGGCAAACACGGAAGTTAGACAGTTGATTGTAGCCACAAGAACTGCGTCTCTGAAGAAAAAACAAAAAAGCATAAGCTTTTATTTAAGTTCAAAATTTGCTTCGGTTTGGAGGTACGAAATTTTCACTTAAGGTCTTTGATGTAAAATTAGCTAATTGTCTGGATGAGATGCGAGAACGTATCGAATTAATTAACTAATCTCAGCTACTGGAGCGCATTTTAATGGGGTGAGAGCGACCAACCTGTAGCAGTTGTTCTTGAACTTATTGTAGCTTGACATCGCAATTAGACCACCGTTGCAGCAGCTCAAAGAAAATATAATCTGCGTTGCTGCATCAGTCCATGCAGTAGGGTCACTCAACCGCGAAAAATCCGGAGTTACGTAGTACTTTACGCCCTCCAGCGAGCCTTCCAGAGTAGCCGCTCGGACCAGGAGAATTGTGAGCATGATGTAGGGGAAGATGGCAGTGAAATAGGATACCTAAGTAGCAAACGCATTGAGGTTTCTCACGTACTCAATTGGGCGCCAATGCGAAGGGAAAGTGGACAGAAAACCTACCTTTCCAAGTGACTGAACACCCTTGATCAGGCTAAGAACCACAACGATCCAAGAGAATAGCAGGCAAAGCGTAATGTGCCACACAGGAGTGCCAAAATCCTCAAAACCGCTTGATTTTTGTAGCACATAGTT